TTTTTGTAATATTTAAATCACATGGGGTTGGAATATACTAATGTCACAATAATTTCTCTCTAAGCACCTTTACATGTACAATTTTTTTTTTTGTAAAACATACAGATTATGCACATCAAGATGGGGTCCTTTTTTTGTAATATTTAAATCACATGGTGCCCAGCTCGATGTGAAAGTCGGTAATTCTTATAGAAGGATTTCTTCTGTACAAGGAGAAAAATTCTTTTTCGTTTGCTTCCTTGACCCTTACGCCACCAACCAAAGATTTAATGTGAAATGTAGAGCCAAAAAATTTAATTGGGGAAGGTTCAAGAGGGAGAACTTAGAACTATGATTTTTGGAGCATATTTCGAACTTTATATTGTAAAAAGATCTGAATTGACCCTTCAATAAAATTTTAATACTTCACTATTAAAATTAAATATCTCAATTGTCACATAATTTTTTTAAAAGTTCCCCCAATTACAATTAACTTAATTTAAAAGCCTTTTAAATTACCACCGAACTTTTCTAAATATTTTTCAATTTTCATTGAATTTTAAAAGTTCTTCGAATTGTTATTGAACTTACTAAGAGATTATTTAATCTACCATTAGGTTATTCACCGTTTCAAAAGTTAACGTACTTAATGAATTTACCAAAATGTTGTTCCATCCTTCATTCCATCTATTTTGTCATCTAGTCCGTTAACTTTTAAAATTACGGGTGTTGGATGTGATAACGTTTTTGTAAGTTATGTTGTAACTCAAAGATCTTTTCTAAAGTTCAATGGTAATATTTGATAAATTTTAATGACATTTTGGAGAGGTTTTAAAATTCAATGATAACTGGAAATATTTAAGAAAATTCAATGACAATTGAGATCTTCAACCCTCATTATCATGAAGTATCGAAATTTTGTAAGGGCCAAAGTCTCTCTAATATTCACTACCATTTTGTGGTGTTGTCTAAAAAAAATTGACACTTAAGTTTGATAGGTGGACAATTAAGAAGACATTTTTGCGGGGTCGGTGTCCTTTATATAAGCCTTATGGGATAGCATATGTGGTCTCTAAATATAGGTAAATTTCAATTGGATTAATGAACTATAATTTAGTTTTAAATTATACCACTCTATTATATGTTATCCCCAAAATGTATGAAAATTACTTAGCCTCAATTTGGACAGAAATTTATAATAAATAATTCAAATATTAATTTCAATAACACAATTTATAACTATTACTCGATATTATCAACTTATTACGTGAAATCCATTCTTTAGGGATGCTTTGCTCATTATTTTCGTTTTCTTACTGAAATGTTATTTCAATTCTTGTTCTGAATCTTCTTTCTTCAAGTCTTCATTTCTTCTTTATTCTTCAGAATACTCATTGTGGGCAACAAGAGATCAAAACTAGAACAGGGTTTAGGATACTATAATCGCACATGAGAAACAAGAATTTTTCCTTTTTCTCCCCCCCTTTCTATACAGTTTGTAGGTGTCGACAAGAGCAACAGTTGGGAACTTGGGATGCCCTGTTCAATCATTACTAGGGGTTTCCTTCTTGTCATGTCTTGTCTAGGAAACCCATTTTGACCTTTTTGCAAGTGTTGTCCCTCAGCTTTTATTTTTAGTGTAATCATAAAAATAATATTATTTCAACTTTTTGCAATTACTCGGATATCGAATAATTATATTTGGGAAAAAAATGACCGTTTTGCCTTCTAATTAGTTTCTCGCTTTAGCTAAAAATTTACTTCAAATATTTCTTTTGATTAATTCACATAATTGATTTAGCCGCCCGCTAAACAACCTAGAAGTAAATAGTTAAATGAATCATAGTTGTGAGTTTACGAATGAAAATACGTGCTCACGACTTTGTTTGTTCTAAACTCTCAACATAATAAGGTATTTGACTACCTCTACTGATATCATTCCTTGTCACATCAAAGACTCTCGAGTTCACAAATAACAACCAACATCTTATTACAAATTTAAGTAATCCACTAGGAAGTCACGTGAAGTATAATTTCTTTGCATGATTGCACTACTATATTTAAACTACACATATCGGTCACATTCCATACACTACCAAAATGTACTAATGTCATTACTCTCGAGATTTAATAGCCACAATCAAGATAATCCTCGCACCTCAATTAGTATTATTAGAACAAAATGCCAATCTCTACTCATGGGTCTAGGGAAAATAAATTTTTGATCTAAACATGAGTAGTATTTATCCGTGTTTCTCTATGGATGAACTCGCCTCAGGTCATCACAGAATGATTGAAGACACTTAACCCGATACTCAAATTAATATTATAAATGAATAAATGTTTAAAAGACAACTAAATAAGCAAAATTTATTTAATAACATCAAATTATATTAAGTTCTAATAGTTTTGGGCACATATTAAAATATTATAAATGTCAACATACTTACCCATAAAGGGATGATACAACAGCCAGACAAAGACAGAAGAGCACAAGGAAGAGGCCCAGAACTCGTAATTGCTGTGGGGATTTGAGGGGCAATCTAGAGGACCATCGCTTCCATAAAAGGGCTAACCGCCAGCATGCACTTTAATTTCTGTTTAAATGCTAAAATGGTACTCAAAATTTTATATCTAGAACTGGAATTCGTTGAACCAGCCTCATCCCCTTAAATTTGCATGTTCCTCAACACATTTATCTGAGTCTCCATCTTCCATTCTGACGGCAAAACATGGCGAAATCCAAGAAATTCAGAGGCGTCAGGCAACGCAATTGGGGTTCATGGGTGTCCGAGATTCGCCACCCTTTACTGTAAACTTATGAAACCACTGCCATTTTTTGCACACTATTTATCAGTATTAGCTAGATATAGCATGTTTGCATGTAAATCCATATAAGCATGTCATTTGTTTTCATTTTACAGGAAGAAGAGGGTGTGGTTGGGGACCTACGATACAGCTGAGGAGGCAGCAAGGGCTTACGACGAGGCTGCGGTGTTATTGAGTGGAAGAAATGCCAAAACTAACTTCCCAATTGAGACGAATGAAGATGGTAATGTTAAGTCTATGTCATCACCATCTTCTTCTTCTCTCTCATCAATCCTCACTGCGAAACTTCGCAAGTGTGGTCAATGGCCATCGCCTTCTCTCACTTGCCTAAGGCTCGACACCGAGAAGTCCCATATTGGGGTGTGGCAAAAGTCGGCCGGAGCAGAATCGGATTCAAATTGGGTAATGACAGTTGAGCTTGGCAACAAGAACAATGATCAGCACGATAAAATAATGCCGGAGGTAACACCGGAGAGAGAATGCAAAAATGGATTGAGCGAAGAGGAAAGGATTGCTTTGCAAATGATTGAGGAACTTCTCAACATGAATTGACCGTGTCTAATGCTGGATTAGTACCTCTATATGGGTACAGGAAAAACAACAAAAAATCATCCGAAATTACACTTGGAAGGTTTTCATTGGAAGAAGAAAAAATAAATGAAAAAAAGGCAAACATGGTACTGCCACGCCAGCACCCCCGTTAAAATTCTGTAAAAAAAAATCCTGTAATTGCAAGTTTATTGTTCCTAATATACTTTTAGTTATATATTTTGGTTTTGATTCCATGGACATATAAGAGTTGTCTTCCTAAATATGGGATAGTAGAGAAGAAATAAGTCAATTATAGTATATTATCAGGATTCTCATCGTAAGTCGAAATACATTTCTTGCACTTATCTATGTTTCGATTAATAAATAAATCAATTTTATAATATTTGTGATTGTATCAAATCAATTACATAGTTGATGGGTTGTCGAAAAAAATATTGTTAACCTTTATAGGATGTACAATTACAACATGCATTCATGTATTGCACTCAAATACAAAAAGTATATTTGCATGATATTTACTCCTTTTTTAAAAGGTAAGAAACTTTCATATAATTCAAGTCATAGTGAACTACAGATGAAATGAAACGTGAAATACAATTGACTTAAACTTATCACGCAATTAACTCCACATATAACAGTTTTGTGATCAACCATCTTATTTAGGGGTGGAGAGATGGGGAGAAGAAGGCCGACTGCCCTCACAACATTTTTTTTTTTTCGAAATTATATAATTTTTTTATGATATCTACACAAAACATACATAAAATATTAAACGTTTGGTGCATTGATATGAAAATTTCTACTAGCTTAGTTGTGAAAGTAATAATGCGTGGGCTTAGTGTTTGAATCTTAGTGTCAAAAGATAGTATTGTTTATAAGTATATTATAATTTAAAATTCAAATTTTGAATTAAATCACATGTTTCGTAAGATTCATAATTGTTATCCATTTATCCATCACTTATT